CCCCCCCCTCCCCTTCCATCCCCGCCGAGCCCCTCGGATCTGCAGGGTGCAGGAGAACCGCGCCTCACCCACGCGTGACCCTCCCTAATAAACCCCACCAGCCATCAGAAATAACAACAACCCCAAATAATAACAACTCGCTCTTAACAAGGATAAAAAAAAATAAAAAATAAAATAAAATAAAAAAAAAATCCAGTGAAGCCTCATGAATATATGCCCAGGGCTAGCTGGAGTGAGCCGTTTAAAGATGAAAGTGCAAAGAAATAAAGGCTCAATTTAATCTGCCTTAAAACCCTTCAACTTAACGTTTGTGCTGGGAACTCAGAGAGTGAGTACTGATTGGGGATAAATACATTTCTTAGCATGCCTTGGAGCTATTACACCCTTCTCCAACACAGCTCCCTATTCAACAGCCACAGTTTTCATTACCAGCTCTAATAAGTCTTAACATTATTAAATGCCAAGCAGACGATAGAAAGAAACAGGCGCAGGGTGGAAGCTTTCTTTACCACTTAAAAAGAGAGAGCATTTAGGGCTGTCTTCCTCCGGCTCCCCGCAAGGAGAACCCGCAAATGGAGCAAAAGCGTTTGTCAAGAAGAAAAAAAGGCCCAAACAAAGTTTTCTCCCCTTCTCCCCCGATCCACAATAATAAAAAAAAAATGCGTTTAAAAAAAAAAACAAAAGCAAACTCAACTCCGTACCCCCCGCCCCCGCGGTCAAAGCGGAGCTGCAGAACAAGTGTCCGGACTCCGTTAGTATTTTAATTTTTACTGCAAACCTCCCAGGGAAAATTTGGGAGGGTGGTGGTGGGGAGAGCTCGAAAGAGTATTCTTATTTCCGAGCAAAAAGGGGGGGAGAAATAAATAAATAAAAGGCAAAATACGCGGCGCGCCCTCCCCGCCTCTGAGCGTTTTACAACTTTCACAGCTGAGCCCTCATCAATTACCTTAATTGGGGCCATTAAAAACTTTTCCAGACGGGAAAATATACATTGACGGCGGTAAAGTTTGGGGGGGGGGGTTTTAAATTTTATTTTTTTTTTTTTTTTTTTTTTTTTTTTAGGGAAAATACCACAAAATCACGGATAAACGGGCAAGGGCTGGGAGCGGAGCCTGCGCGCCCGGAGCGCCGGCAGCGGGAATTCGCCCAAATGAGCGCTCGGTCCAAACCGGGCCGATTTCCCAAAGAAATGGGGGCTCGGGTTTATTTGTCGCGATATTACCCAAGGAGGCAGAAGGGAGAGATTTGGTTTGCTCACGGACACGCACTTCTGTATGTTATTAAGGAATAAAAAGCTCCCAGCTCCTTCACTTTTATTTTTTAATTTTTTTTTTTATTATTATTTTGGGCGTGGGGGGGGGGGAAACACGCACAGACAAGGGGAAGAAAAAAAATTCCGCAGCTTAATTTTTTTTTTTTTTTCAAGCGACGAGGCTCAACTAAAATAAATCTTAAACCCCCAAAACACCACCCCTCCCCAAAAAAATAAAATTAAAAACACCCCGAAGTGATGGGGGGGAGCTTTTCGCGGACACAATAGCCCCGATTTGCAAATGAGCATCGCCTGTTTCCAAATCACAAGCAACATTTTGCCCCGTCCAACGGCTATCCTTTTTCCAACAGACGGTCCTATAATATTACAAAACTATCTAACAGCAGGGAGTTTTGAATAATTTATCTCCCTTTCTTCCCTTCCTTGCCCCTTTGTCCAAACTTTTTCTCCTCCTTGCAGAATTTTGAATGAGAATAGACAAGCCCTCCCTCCCCCATCCCTTTACTCCATTTTTAAGGCAGCCTAGGGTTTTCCCCCCTTTCCCCCCCCCCCTTTTTTTTTCCCCTTTTTCTTTTTTTTTTTTTTCCTTCTACTGTTTGCTTTTGTGGTCAGGAATCTTTTGCTTATAAAGCTTCAATAGACTTGAAGGTCTTTGTAAGTGAAGTTCATCTTCAAGGTTGGAAAAAAAAAAAAGGATCGGATCCTTAAAGAAACCCCTTTTGTGCACCTTCATTTAAAACTCCCAGGAACGGGTGATGGTGACACAGAGAAGCTTTTTTTTCTGCCCCAAATTCTCCCCATTTCAATATTTCCCCACTTACCCGCATTGTCCCAAAATGGGGAAAACTTTGTAGCTGGTGAGAAACTTTGTGAGAGATTTCTCACCCCCCCCGTCCCCGGACTGGGGACCCATCTCCATAAGGAAAATAACTCTCACCCCACTCCCTCTTGCCCCGACACCGACGATATCGCAAATCCCCCGAAACTCTGACCGACTCAACCCCGAGAGGCCTGGGCCATCGCCATTTTGCCATCAATTTTGGAGAAAAACAGCAAACCCCCATTTCTTGAAGCCCATCCCCAACATTTGTATAATTGCTGGATCCCCCCCCAAAAAGGCGCTGAGCTCTGCAACCCAGGGAAATTATTTTCTGCCCAACTGACACAGCAGTTCCTCCCTCCCCTTGCTTCAAATTTCCCCATCTTTGCAAACACCCTCATTGATAAACCTCAATTATGCCCCCTAAAATTGCCGTCTTCCCCCATTTTTGGGGGGGAAAGGGGAATCATCACCCCCACCAAGCTTGCCCAAAATCAAATCACAAGCACTGCGCTGGCCGGCTCCAGCCGTGCCTTGTCCGCCACCCCACATTTACAGCACAGGAGCTTGAAAAAGTTTAATTTTTCCTCCCACGAGAGGAAAGCACCAGGCGTGGAGATGATAACAGGGCCCCCTGCTCTCCCCCACCGCCGGCCCGGCCTCGAGCCCCGCATCAGAAGTGCCACCTTTATTTTTCCTGATCTTATTTAGAGGTGCAGACCCCCTCCCCGTTTCCTCCCATCCCAGGACCACCCCATCTCCCCTCAGTGCTCCCCCGGCACGGGCGGCTCTGCAGCAGCCCCAGCGCAGCGCCGATCCCGGCTTCTCTAATTGATATTGATTGGCCAAATCGGTCAACTGTCAGCCTGAGTTTCAGGGGACCACTTAGAGAGCAGGAGAGAAATCTGTTTAACAAATTCATTTAGGAATCAGAGATGCCTCCCCCCCACCCCCCCAGCCATCTCCTTTCCCCTTTTTATAAATAATTGATCCAGAGCAAAACCAACAACTCTTCCTCCTGGGAAAGCATCCTCAGCCGGAGGGGCTGGGTACCACCTTCCCTCCCAGGGCCCTCCGGCACACCCTTGACTCTGCCATCAATCATTTTTGGAAAGGACAAATGCAGGAGGCTCTGGAGCCATCCCCTCTCTTGGCAGGGAGGGACGTGTCCCCTCTCCCAAATGTTCCCTCCAGCCCAGCCCCGGGGCACGCAAGACCGCCTTTACCTTTGTCGCCCAGGATGCCGTCTATGCTGTGCTTGGCCTTCTTCTCCCCATCTTCCTCCTTCTTGTCACAGTCCTCCTCTTCCTCTTTCTTCCCGAATTTGATGCGTAGCACACGGCTAATCGAACTCACTAAACCTCAGACAGTCAAAGACAAAAAGGCAAGTATAAGCTGCCTGGGAAGGCAAGGTGGGAGCTGGCCGGGAAAGCCCAAGCAGGGGCTGCACACC